TGTGTGAGTGTGTGTGTGTGAGAGAGAGAGTAGAGAGGAAGCAGGTCTTCACAAACCTTGGGGACTCCACCAGCTTCTGGTACCAACCTGCAAGACACAAATATTAACATTAACACCACAACCATTAGTCCACTAACACAATGTTTACTGGCATCTCTCAAACTTTTATACCTATTTACCAATTAAAACTAACTCCAATTATTGTAACAATTCTCTCTTTCTCATATATATATATATATATATATATATATATATATATATATATATATATATATATATATATATATATATATATATATATATATATATGCAGGTCAATTCATTTTAAACAAAATTTAATGCTAGGCCCCAAATTTGCACAATAGAATAACAATATATTGGAGCGAAAGGTACGGAAGGATATGCAAAATAGAACCAGTGAGGAATAGAGGTGCCATAGACACAATCAGAGAACACTATCTGAATATCAGAGGTCCAGTCAGGAGTAGAGGTGCCATAGGCACAATCAGAGAACACTATCTGAATATCAGAGGTCCAGTGAGGAGTAGAGGTGCCATAGACACAGAGAACACTGTCTGAACATCAGAGGTCCAGTGAAGAGTAGAGGTGCCATAGACACAATCAGAGAACACTGTGTGAACATCAGAGGTCCAGTGAAGAGTAGAGGTGCCATAGACACAATCAGAGAACACTGTCTGAACATCAGAGGTCCAGTGAAGAGTAGAGATGCCATAGACACAATCAGAGAACACTGTCTGAACACCAGAGGTCCAGTGAGGAGTAGAGGTGCCATAGGCACAATCAGAGAACACTGTCTGAACATCAGAGGTCCAGTGAGGAGTAGAGGTGCCATAGGCACAATCAGAGAACACTGTCTGAACACCAGAGGTCCAGTGAGGAGTAGAGGTGCCATAGGCACAATCAGAGAACACTGTCTGAACATCAGAGGTCCAGTGAGGAGTAGAGGTGCCATAGGCACAATCAGAGTACACTGTCTGAACATCAGAGGTCCAGTGAGGAGTAGAGGTGCCACAGGCACAATCAGAGTACACTGTCTGAACATCAGAGGTCCAGTGAGGAGTAGAGGTGCCATAGGCACAATCAGAGAACACTAAACACCAGAGGTCCACAGCTGTTCAACACCCTCCCAGCAAGCATAAGAAACATTACCAGAACAAAGGTGGACGTCTCCAAGAAGCACTTGCATGTTATGTTAATCTGTGTTTACGGATATCAGACTCCAGCTCACGGTCCCCGCCTCTTGCCCATTCATCACCCGCTGGGCCTTATCGCATCTAGGAATCCCTGAGCTCATGTATCTGAACATATTTAGGTATATCCGCTGGGTATATTTTTGTAGCCGTCATAGGACCTACACATGTGACACCTTCATTAGACACATGTGTAGTGGATCACTGTAGCTGTAATGATCAAAGTATTCATAGATAATAGGTTTTTATCGTGCTTTAAAAAGGAGAATATTTAGTATCTTTTGGGTTCATTTTGTGATAAGAACATAAGAACAAAGGTAACTGTAGAAGGCCTATTGGCACATACGAGGCAGCTTACGTGAGGAATGAGGCACTGTGAATTGATATCCTCCAACCATGAGGAATGAGGCACTGTGAATTGATATCCTGCAACCATGAGGAATGAGGCACTGTGAATTGATATCCTGCAACCATGAGGAATGAGGCACTGTGAATTGATATCCTGCAACCATGAGGAATGAGGCACTGTGAATTGATATCCTGCAACCATGAGGAATGAGGCACTGTGAATTGATATCCTGCAACCATGAGGAATGAGGCACTGTGAATTGATATCCTGCAACCATGAGGAATGAGGCACTGTGAATTGATATCCTGCAACCATGAGGAATAAGGCACTGTGAATTTATATCCTGCAACCATGAGGAATGGGGCACTGTGAATTGATATCCTGCAACCATGAGGAATGAGGCACTGTGAATTGATATCCTGCAACCATGAGGAATGGGGCACTGTGAATTGATATCCTGCAACCATGAGGAATGAGGCACTGTGAATTGATATCCTGCAACCATGAGGAATGAGGCACTGTGAATTGATATCCTGCAACCATGAGGAATGAGGCACTGTGAATTGATATCCTGCAACCATGAGGAATGAGGCACTGTGAATTGATATCCTGCAACCATGAGGAATGAGGCACTGTGAATTGATATCCTGCAACCATGAGGAATGAGGCACTGTGAATTGATATCCTGCAACCGTGAGGAATGAGGCACTGTGAATTGATATCCTGCAACCATGAGGAATGAGGCACTGTGAATTGATATCCTGCAACCATGAGGAATGGGGCACTGTGAATTGATATCCTGCAACCATGAGGAATGAGGCACTGTGAATTGATATCCTGCAACCATGAGGAATGAGGCACTGTGAATTGATATCCTGCAACCATGAGGAATGAGGCACTGTGAATTGATATCCTGCAACCATGAGGAATGAGGCACTGTGAATTGATATCCTGCAACCATGAGGAATGAGGCACTGTGAATTGATATCCTGCAACCATGAGGAATGAGGCATTACTTCATAATATGCCGAGAGGGAAGAAATTACCTCATCAAATACTGAGTTATAAGGAATTACTCAAAAGCAGATTCATGATGAATACCTTCATCAAATGCATGAGTTGCCTCATACAAGACGGAGCTTCTCCCCCCCCCCCCCCCCGTCCCATCCCAAATCCTTATCCTGACCCCTTCCCAGTGCTATATAATGGCTTGGCGCTTTCTCCTGATACGCAGTTACAGCCCCGCTCCTGTGCCAGGTAAGTCCACTACGGGCTCGCCATAGCCCGTGCTACTTGCCCCGCTCCTGTGCCAGGTAAGTCCACTACGGGCTCACCATAGCCCGTGCTACTTGCCCCGCTCCTGTGCCAGGTAAGTCCACTACGGGCTCACCATAGCCCGTGCTACTTGCCCCGCTCCTGTGCCAGGTAAGTCCACTACGGGCTCACCATAGCCCGTGCTACTTGCCCCGCTCCTGTGCCAGGTAAGTCCACTACGGGCTCGCCATAGCCCGTGTTACTTGCCCCGCTCCTGTGCCAGGTAAGTCCACCACGGGCTCACCATAGCCCGTGCTACTTGCCCCGCTCCTGTGCCAGGTAAGTCCACTACGGGCTCACCATAGCCCGTGCTACTTGCCCCGCTCCTGTGCCAGGTAAGTCCACTACGGGCTCACCATAGCCCGTGCTACTTGCCCCGCTCCTGTGCCAGGTAAGTCCACTACGGGCTCACCATAGCCCGTGCTACTTGGAACCTTGGTTCCCAGTAGCTGAATCAATAACAACAACAAGCAGCGCGCTGGCGGAGTGCCAACCACTTCTCCACAATAATACATCAACATTTGGACGTCAAAATCCCCCCAACGGACAAAATACGATGTATTATCAATCCTATACACAAAAACCACGTTTTCTATACACGGGTTCGAGTTACCCGAGTCCCCCCTCTTCACCGAACGCGTTAACAGAAAACGGTGAAAATAGATGCGAGGGGAGACTCCGCCAGCTGGCTGCCAAGTATAATTAATTCAGTATATTAATAAACACGGTCACACACATTTTATATTGTGCTCGGGCTAATATAACGCGCTGTTTGCAGGCGACGAGTCACAATAACGGGGCTGTAGAATGCTGACCAGACCACACACTAGAAGGTGAAGGGACGACGACGTTTCGGTCCGTCCTGGACCATTCTCAAGTCGATAGTGACTTGACAATCGACTTGAGAATGGTCCAGGACGGACCGAAACGTCGTCGTCCCTTCACCTTCTAGTGTGTGGTCTGGTCAAAGTTCTATTATTTGGTTAATGATTCTTTATATTACAAATTTAACACTCAGAGAAAGTTTGGGAAGGGAAGGGGTTATCTTGAGATGATTTCGGGGCTTTAGTGTCCCCGCGGCCCGGTCCTCGACCAGGCCTCCACCCCCAGGAAGCAGCCCGTGACAGCTGACTAACACCCAGGTACCTATTTTACTGCTAGGTAACAGGGGTATAGGGTGAAAGAAACTCTGCCCATTGTTTCTCGCCGGCGCCTGGGATCGAACCCAGGACCACAGGATCACAAGTTCCGCGTGCTGTCCGCTCGGCCGACCGGCTCCCTAACCCGAATCCAAATTATCTTTGTGGGAGTTATTGATGGCGTGTGAGGTTATCTTGAGGGGATTTCGGGGCTTAGCGTCCCCGCGGCCCGGTCCTCGACCAGGCCTCCTTTATGTCACACATCCCCAGGAACCAGCCCGTAGCAGCTGTCTAACTCCCAGGTACCTATTTACTGCTAGGTGAACAGGTGGGCATCAGGGTGAAAAAACTGCCAATTTGTTTCCGCCTCCACCGGGGATCGCACTCGGAATCTCAAGACTACGAAACCCGAGCGCTGTCCACTCAGCCGTCAGACCCCCAAGTGGGTGACTTCGGGAGGAGACTAAACAAGACACACACCAACTTTTTATTATTATTATTATTATTATTATTATTTTCTACCACAAACGTGGCCACACATTTACACTGTGAGAGGTGTGGAGGCGGCCGTGGTGACGGGCGTGCCTAAACAACCTCTCTTTTCCCTCCTAGACGTTACATACGGTCAAAAATGGTCGTACTAGAACAAGGAAGCGGCTGGCGAAAATGACCTACTGTCCCGTTTTCTGTTTTGGGTCCAAAACAAAATACGAGGTATTAAAAACCTACCAACCCAAAACTCCTTCAAGTTCGTCTTTTGAGACAATAAGATCCATCTCGAGAGGATAGAGTAGTTTACCCCGCAGCCCAAAACCCCTACCTAACCTAAGTGAGCTACTCATAGAAAACGTGGGTATTGGCGGCCCGCTGGCTCTTAATACCCCGTATATTGCTCGTTGGGGCGGATCATATCGTCAACATTGTATTATCTGAGAGGCCAGGTTGGTCTAACACCACAAGTGTTGCCCGTAGCTGTTGTCACATTACCTGCCGCCTCAGTAACGCTTGTGTTGCACAGCAGTTGCTCCAGGAGGGCGTGCAGCAGCTGGTCGTCGTGCAGCTGGTCGTCGTCGTGCAGCTGGTCGTCGCGCAGCAGCTGGTCGTCGTGCAGCTGGTCGTCGTCGTGCAGCTGGTCGTCGTCGTGCAGCTGGTCGTCGTCGTGCAGCTGGTCGTCGTCGTGCAGCTGATCGTCGGCTGAGATGGGTGGACGAACCCCGCTGTCTGCAGCAGTGCTGACCGCTACAACCTTGCTCTCAAGAGGCGGGTCACAGCTCTCAAGAGGCGGGTCACAGCTCTCAAGAGGCGGGTCACAGCTCTCAAGAGGCGGGTCACAGCTCTCAAGAGGCGGGTCACGGCTCTCAACGGGCGGGTCACAGCTCTCAAGAGGCGGGTCACAGCTCTCAAGAGGCGGGTCACAGCTCTCAAGAGGCGGGTCACAGCTCTCAAGAGGCGGGTCACGGCTCTCAAGAGGCGGGTCACGGCTCTCAACGGGCGGGTCACGGCTCTCAAGAGGCGGGTCACGGCTCTCAACGGGCGGGTCACAGCTCTCAAGAGGCGGGTCACAGCTCTCAAGAGGCGGGTCACAGCTCTCAAGAGGCGGGTCACGGCTCTCAAGAGGCGGGTCACGGCTCTCAACGGGCGGGTCACGGCTCTCAAGAGGCGGGTCACGGCTCTCAAGAGGCGGGTCACGGCTCTCAAGAGGCGGGTCACGGCTCTCAAGAGGCGGGTCACGGCTCTCAAGAGGCGGGTCACGGCTCTCAAGAGGCGAGTCACAGCACTTAGCTTCCCTGTTGCCCTTGAGGGGCTGGACCCTGGCTTTCCTCCTGTATATGACCAACTCCTTGGACTCCATCTTGGTGGGTGAGGGGCCAGGCTGTGGCGACAGCGGGACCAAGTACCCGGCCTGACGCTTCAGTCTGTTATCAGAACTGCTTTTATGCGTTCTCAGAACCACAATTTCAGACTCATTACGCGACGCACAACCACGATCCAAACTGTCGCAACTACCACTATCACCACTAACAACACTGACACGGATATCGTCATCTATGAAGGGGATGTCATCGTGGTTTAAATTAAGAGCTTTTCTGTTCGGAAGAGGAGAGTTCTTGGACGAGTGACTCCTGCCTCGTCTCATCTGTACTGTGTCTTCTACCCCACGACACGGGGTCACACCGGGTACCTGTGCTTCCATCACCGCTGTACCTGCTACCCTGCCCCACTGGGTCACACCGGGGTACGTTTAGGCACGTGCCTCACACCGGGGTACCTTTGGGAACGTGCCTGCTACGCTCCTCTCCGCCACTCTTGCTAAATTTACTCTTGGGAACCGACAATCGGCCCCGAGCTGGTGCTTGAGAGCTTGCGTAGGGGGAGTGTCTGGGGTGACTTTCCTCTGCTCCTGTCCCGTCACTGGCCGCTGTGGTAGTGCCAGTTCTGTCCGCACTGACAAGAGACAGGTTACAGACAGGTGGTTGCACAGGTGGTAAGAAGCGTTTCCACGACACTAGTGGATTGTCGTCCAGTGTCGTCCAGTACTCGTCCCCCGGCAGGTGGCGTGAGTGGGGCTAGACGGGGTCGGCTACCACCACCGCGAGTGATATGGTCGTCCATCGTATGTGAGAGAGAGCACCCAGGCTCACCGGCCGGATACACACACCACAAGCCCACCTGCACCCGGGGTGAACTGTGAGGCACTGCTGCACTGACGCTTGGCGGTGCCCCGTGTGGTGCCAAGCCGCCAGCAGCACCAGCAGCAGCAGCAGCAGCAGCAGCAGACATCAATCTTGGCCACCTCTACCAATATGCTTCCCGGAGTCGCCTGGTTATCCTTAATGAGTTGATCCTGCTTGATACCTGGTTGATGAGATTCTGGGAGTTCTACTCCCCGAGGCCAGGCTTGACTTGTGAGAGTTTGGTCCACCAGGCTGTTGCTTGGAGCGGCCCGCAGGCCCACATACCCACCACAGCCCGGTTGGTCCGGCACTCCTTGGAGGAAACTATCTAGTTTCCTCTTGAAGATGTCCACGGTTGTTCCGGCAATATTTCTTATGCTCGCTGGGAGGACGTTGAACAACCGCGGACCTCTGATGTTTATACAGTGTTCTCTGATTGTGCCTATGGCACCTCTGCTCTTCACTGGACCTCTGATGTTTATACAGTGTTCTCTGATTGTGCCTATGGCACCTCTGCTCTTCACTGGACCTCTGATGTTTATACAGTGTTCTCTGATTGTGCCTATGGCACCCCTGCTCTTCACTGGACCTCTGATGTTTATACAGTGTTCTCTTATTGTGCCTATGGCACCTCTGCTCTTCACTGGACCTCTGATGTTTATACAGTGTTCTCTGATTGTGCCTATGGCACCCCTGCTCTTCACTGGACCTCTGATGTTTATACAGTGTTCTCTGATTGTGCCTATGGCACCCCTGCTCTTCACTGGACCTCTGATGTTTATACAGTGTTCTCTTATTGTGCCTATGGCACCTCTGCTCTTCACTGGACCTCTGATGTTTATACAGTGTTCTCTTATTGAGCCTATGGCACCTCTGCTCTTCACTGGACCTCTGATGTTTATACAGTGTTCTCTTATTGTGCCTATGGCACCCCTGCTCTTCACTGGACCTCTGATGTTTATACAGTGTTCTCTGATTGTGCCTATGGCACCTCTGCTCTTCACTGGTTCTATTCTGCATGTTCTTACATATCGTTCACTCCAGTACGTTGTTATTTTACTGTGTAGATTTGGTACCTGGCCCTCCAGTATCTTCCAGGTGTATATTATTTGATATCTCTCGCGTCTCCTTTCTGGTGAGTACATTTGGAGAGCTTTGAGACGATCCCAATAATTTAGGTGCTTTATCTCGTCTATGCGTGCCGTATATACCTGGTTGGTCGTTCTCTATATTCCCTCTATTTCAGCAATCTCTCCTGCTCTGAAGGGGGAAGCGAGTACCGAGCAGTACTCAAGACGGGACAACACAAGTGACTTGAAGAGTACAACCATTGTGATGGGATCCCTGGATTTGAAGGTTCTCGTAATCCATCCTATCATTTTTCTGTCTGACGCAATATTTGCTTGGTTATGCTCCCTAAACGTTAGGTCGTCGGACATGCTGCCCAATAGAGTCAACCTATATAGGGGACTCCGAGGGCTGCCAGGCTCTATAACCCAGGTCCACACACCGCACTCCACACCAACCACACACACACTTCACCGCAGCTGCCAGGTGTACCCACACACCTGAAGCTTCACCAACACTGGCTCTCTACCCCCCCCCCTGCCCTCCCCCACACCACATGCCACAACCTGCCCAAATGAGGGAGGGGGAAGGGGGGGTAGGGAAGAGGAGGAGAGAGAGAGAGAGAGAAGATACATCAGGAAACGGATGGCCTTATCGGCCAGATATCACACATCGTAAGTGTTATATGTATCACATGTGTACCCTGCCTCTCCTCCCCCCCCCCCACTCTGTATACTCCATGGTATACACACACTGGTTTACCTCCCATCAACACCCCCCTCCCCCCACCACACACACACATCCAGACAACAGCTGAGCAGCGGAGTTGCAAAATCTGAGACTGACAGACACCGCCTTGACCACTATCTACGAGACTATGAACACCTTAGACACATTACACATGTGTAGCATAATAACCCTCATAATGTTAATCTTCTTGTTTGAGGAGCTGTTCACTCGAGACAGTTAAGCAAGTCCCAGCTGTGTCTGGGTACAAGTGACAGGATGAACAACCCAGCGGGTTTTCTTCCTATTGGGGAGTGTTGTACATGCTGCTATGGCGGTGTGTCCACTCACAGGATGAGTGACGCTGCCCAATACTGTCACTATGGCGGTGTGTCCACTCACAGGATGAGTGGTGCTGCCCAATACTGTCACTATGGCGGTGTGTCCACTCACAGGATGAGTGGCGCCGCCCAATACTGTCACTATGGCGGTGTGTCCACTCACAGGATGAGTGGCGCTGCCCAATACTGTCACTATGGCGGTGTGTCCACTCACAGGATGAGTGGCGCTGCCCAATACTGTCACTATGGCGGTGTGTCCACTCACAGGATGAGTGGCGCTGCCCAATACTGTCACTATGGCGGTGTGTCCACTCACAGGATGAGTGGCGCTGCCCAATACTGTCACTATGGCGGTGTGTCCACTCACAGGATGAGTGGCGCTGCCCAATACTGTCACTATGGTGGTGTGTCCACTCACAGGATGAGTGGCGCTGCCCAATACTGTCACTATGGCGGTGTGTCCACTCACAGGATGAGTGACGCTGCCCAATACTGTCACTATGGCGGTGTGTCCACTCACAGGATGAGTGACGCTGCCCAATACTGTCACTATGGCGGTGTGTCCACTCACAGGATGAGTGGCGCTGCCCAATACTGTCACTATGGCGGTGTGTCCACTCACAGGATGAGTGACGCTGCCCAATACTGTCACTATGGCGGTGTGTCCACTCACAGGATGAGTGACGCTGCCCAATACTGTCACTATGGCGTTGTGTCCACTCACAGGATGAGTAGCGCTGCCCAATACTGTCACTATGGCGGTGTGTCCACTCACAGGATGAGTGACGCTGCCCAATACTGTCACTATGGCGGTGTGTCCACTCACAGGATGAGTGTCGCTGCCCAATACTGTCACTATGGCGGTGTGTCCACTCACAGGATGAGTGGCGCTGCCCAATACTGTCACTATGGCGGTGTGTCCACTCACAGGATGAGTGACGCTGCCCAATACCGTCACTATGGCGGTGTGTCCACTCACAGGATGAGTGACGCTGCCCAATAAACTCGCTCCTCGGGGCAAAATTAAAAAACCTATCTCCCCTCAACTCCAAGCCCATTACCCTCACACACCCACCACCCCACCATGAGGCAGTTGTGTGGGTGACCGCCAGGGACTCATATTATGAGGTAAACACTAGCAAAAATGCTATTCTGGGCCGCGCTCTACACCACTCACTAACCTGCGTGAGTGTTACACAGGCTGGCTGGCCTCACACACACAAGGATCCTGGGCTAAAGCTTAAATTCAGGTAACCCAAGCACTGCACCTCCTGCTTGATGGGGTTCTGGGAGTTGTTCTACTGCCCAAGCCCGGCCCGAGGCCAGGCTTGACTTGTGAGAGTTTGGTCCACCAGGCTGTTGCTTGGAGCGGCCCGCAGGCCCACATATACCTAGTTGATGGGGTTCTGGGAGTTCTTCTACTGCCCAAGCCCGGCCCGAGGCCAGGCTTGACTTGTGAGAGTTTGGTCCACCAGGCTGTTGCTTGGAGCGGCCCGCAGGCCCACATATACCTGGTTGATGGGGTTCTGGGAGTTCTTCTACCCCCCAAGCCCGGCCCGAGGCCAGGCTTGACTTGTGAGAGTTTGGTCCACCAGGCTGTTGCTTGGAGCGGCCCGCAGGCCCACATATACCTGGTTGATGGGGTTCTGGGAGTTCTTCTTCTGCCCAAGCCCGGCCCGAGGCCAGGCTTGACTTGTGAGAGTTTGGTCCACCAGGCTGTTGCTTGGAGCGGCCCGCAGGCCCACATATACCTGGTTGATGGAGTTCTGGGAGTTCTTCTACCCCCCAAGCCCGGCCCGAGGCCAGGCTTGACTTGTGAGAGTTTGGTCCACCAGGCTGTTGCTTGGAGCGGCCCGCAGGCCCACATACCCACCACAGCCCAGTTGGTCCGGCACTCCTCGGAGGAAATTATATAGTTTCCTCTTGAAGATGTCCACGGTTGTTCCGGCAATATTTCTTATGCTCGCTGGGAGGACGTTGAACAACCGCGGACCTCTGATGTTTATACAGTGTTCTCTGATTGTGCCTATGGCACCTCTGCTCTTCACTGGACCTCTGATGTTTATACAGTGTTCTCTGATTGTGCCTATGGCACCTCTGCTCTTCACTGGACCTCTGATGTTTATACAGTGTTCTCTGATTGTGCCTATGGCACCCCTGCTCTTCACTGGACCTCTGATGTTTATACAGTGTTCTCTGATTGTGCCTATGGCACCTCTGCTCTTCACTGGTTCTATACTGCATTCTCTCGCCTATCACATGACCTATCGAGGTCGATGGATTCAAATACTCTTCGTAGTTTAATTATTAATACGTCACATTCTTGAATTTCTTTCCCCCGTAAAAAATACAAGATATAAGGTAGGAGGACAGATAGTGCTATAATGCACTAGGCAGTGATGTGGTGGAGGCTGACTCCATACACAGTTTGTAATGTAGATATGATAGAGCCCAGTAGGCTCAGGAACCTGTACACCTGTTGATTGACAGTTGAGAGGCGGGACCAAAGAGCCAAAGCTCAACCCCCCACAATTGACATGTACAATAAGCCCTACATTATAAACCACGAAGGCAAGACTCCCCCCATTTTGCACCCGCAAGATAACCTAAGATTTTAAGGTTGACGAATTTTAATTTTGAGACAGTTAAGCAAGTCCCAGCTGTACTCGTCTAGTTGTGCTTTGCGAGGGTTGAGCTCTGGCTGCTTGGTCCCGCCTCTCAACTGTCAATCAACTGGTGTACAGAACTGGTGGCGGGTCCAGAGGAGGGGAATAGTGTTGGGGACGAGGATGAGGGAAGAGTGTGGGAGGGAGGGAAGAGGGGAGGGAAGAGGGGATGGAGGGGAGGGAGGGAAGAGGGGAGGGAAGAGGGGATGGAGGGAAGG